AAGGAGAAAGCCATAGATCAGCTTACCCCTAACACAGAGCAGCAGTTTTGTGAATGTACCAGTGTTCATGGGGTACAGATATTGGGCCGTATCAGTATACTCACAATTGATCAGGTTTAAGGTGACGAATACTCACTAATCCAGACTATATGACATTGATGAATAATTTGGGATACCAGTGTGATTATGTATAATGAGGGATAACTTCTGCCTGTGCCTGGATGGCTCCTTTTGCAAGCCTTGGTTTACATTATTAATCGGTAGATTATTAAGGATTTAGAGCAAAAGGACGCAAATAGTTTTGAAAAATATTTCTTTGGGGTCAGGTTGAGGTCCCAACATTGCTGATTATGTTTCAGTAAAGAATCCAGGAGGCTTTTTGTTCCCTCCTATTCAGTGTTGACTTATCTGTCAGTGGGCATCCTTGTTTCCATATTCTTTGGGGACATGATTCACTTTGTCCCCAGATACCATCAACAAAAGTCATGTTTTTTTTTTTCAGAGAAAATATTTTTAACCATCATTGTGTGCAAGCACAGTTAAATTGATGAGATTCAAAATATACTTTCTAGTCACAACATCCATTAAATTGTTAATCCATGTTGAAAGCAACTGGAATGTCTAATATCATGTAACACAATGATCATACCATCGTTATTCTTAACTTCCTTTTACCAATGTTGGTGAAACTGAGGCTTTTGTTCAAATATACTTTTTATCAGTTGTTCTCACTCTAAAATCCAAGTCTCTTTTCTAGTTCCTGGGGTCTCTTCTATTTTCCATGAGAGAAGATTGATTTCTTGTTCCTCTACTAATCTCTCAGACAAACAAATCTCTTACCAGTTTGGAGATGATAATGTTTACCCTGTGTATCTTATGTAGGCATAATGAAATCATCAGAACAGTTCTGCAGAATCTTGCTCACCTGAGCAGGCATTTTCTAAGTTAAATCAGTAGTGTCATGAAGTTCTAAATGTTCAGAGAGAGAGAGAGAGAGAGAGAGAGAGAGAGAGAGAACATATATTGTAAGTGTGCCTCTAGGCAAGCAAGCCTGATTTTTAATAGCATGCATTTATACAAAAGAGTCAAGACAATTTTACTATTCAAGAGGATCTCCTCACCAATTCTCTGTTGGCAAACCTATATTATGATTTGATTTATAAAAATTATTTACCCCTAACTTGTCAGAAGCATGCGCACTGTATTAAGTGAAACGCTGAGTTGGAATTCATGCTGCCTTATTCTTGGGATGCTAGTGAGGCAGAGGAAGAAAATTTCAGTAACTCAATCCTGCAAAATAGGATGCTGGGTATAGGCTCCTTGACCTCTTTGTTTCATGTAAAAATGGCTAAATTTACCAAATCTAAGGCATACACAATTGACCATCGTCTAATATATGATCCGTCCTATATGTTATTTGCATGTTAACAGAAAAAAAGATCAAAGGAATACATTTCTGGTTCTAGAATTTCAGACCATGGTAAAATGGTAGGTCAGATTTTGAGGGAGAGGTATTAGGGGTGGATGGGAAGATACGCTTCTTCTGTCCTATTAAATCAGATGTTGTCTCACATTTCTGGGCCTGAAGTCTCTACATTTTATTCTAACCATGCAATTGATATAAATAACAATGTGGTTACTGCCACTACTTTGAGATTAAGCATGCATTAACCTGTGGGGTTGTTTTACAGTAATTAAGTGACCAAATCTCTCTGATGTTGGTGTATATATTGAAGGCTTTTGTAGTTGATTAGCAGAGGAGTGAAACTGAGGAGTTTAATCAACCACTCAAGTTCTTAGTTTTGACTTTATTCTTGCACTGTTTGCTTGTCATATTAGAGGAAGACAGGAAGCTGAACTTCCTCCATTGACATGTTGCACATGTGCTGTCTCAGTCTCACTGAAGGTTGAAGGAGATTGCTCTTACAGTTCTCAATCCCAAGCTATGCCAAGCTATGCTGCATGCTGACCTTATGGGAAAGCCAAGGATCAGCTGGGAAGTGAGTGATACTGATGAAGAGGTCAAGGTCAGGATTTCCCTTTGGGTACAGCTAGTTGGTGTTTTACCTGAGCACAAACTGTTTCATGGCTTCAGCCATGCTGGAATCATTGATCCTAGGAAAAAAAAAATGATGGAATGCAGATGTATCCATATAATTCACCCCATTGTTCGAAAACATATATTAAAGATATAATCTATGGATGGGTTAGTAGTGGTATCACCTTAAATATAAAGAATAGGACCTTCTGTCTCATTCACTCACTCACTCATCAAATACTTATTACAGTTCATACTCTATTCTGGATACTGGGTTTCATGCTAAGGAAATGCTAAGATTTATAAGAAATGTCTCCTGACCTCAAAGAGATTACAGTAAAGTGAGGGATAGACTGGCAATATTTAGAGTACTTTGTCATATATACTGTGTTAAGTGAATAGACGCAAAGGTTCAATGGATTATTTCTGAAGGGAATCATAGAAGGTTTCTGAAGGAGTTGTCTGCTAAGTTGGGTCTTGAAAAATGGGTAGAAGTTAACCAGGTTAACTGCTTAAGGGGTGGATGATGAGATGTTTCACTGAGAAGAAACAACTCACTACGCAGAAACCCTGGAGCAGTATACCAATGGCCTGTGGTTTTCTGTGGCTAAAGTGTAGGCTGATGGGTAAGTGGAGTGGTAGGAAATGAGACTGAAAAAGAGGTAGGAGCCAAAGGGAGCTCCTGGGACATGTGGGAATTTTAAAAACATATCTGTTGGGCAATAGGGATCCTTCAAATATTTTGTCTGGGAGAGAATGTGGTTTGTGAGCTATTAAATTTTTTTTTTATCTTTTATTCTTTCTTTTTTTTTATTGCATTTTAGGTTTTGGGGTACATGTGCAGAGCATGCAATACAGTTGCATAGGTACACACATGGCAGTGTGTTTTGTTTGCTTTCTCCCCTTCACCCACATTTGGCATTTCTCCCCAGGCAATCCCTCCCCACCTGCCTTAGCACCATGGACAGTAGATTGGAGAAAGAATTTGTGATGTGACCCAAAAGGGATGCTAATCTCAATGTCCAGGTGAGAGTAAGGGGACCTGGACTCAGATAGTTGTAGTGAGTCTAGAATGTAAAGGACAGCTTTAGGAGATGCTTAGTATAACTGGCATGACCAATTGTGTAGGTGGCTATGGATGGGGGTGGTAGGGGTGTTATGGCATAAAAAGTAGAAAAGACTCATAAAACAGTGAGCAGAAGACATTGGGGCTATTTTTCTCAGAGAGAAATTTGTGTAAATAAAGGGATTGTATTAAGTGTTCTAGATTGTTTTCTCATCTCTAAACTCCTATAATATTTTGATAATTTGATTTGGAACCATGCCACTTAGCATTGAAGTATAATTTCTATTCTCTTGGATAGTGGGAATACAAAGATGAGTAGATAGAATCCTTGATCTCCAGAAGTTCATAATCTATGGAAGGGGCAATAAGTAAACAAATAAGTACAAACTGGTATGGTGTGTTGTCACTCAGGCATGTGTGAAGGACAGGCATGGCAGGAGGCATTTAGGACATTGCATTAAGTGTCTGGTGTAGAGAAGTGACATGATTAGATTTTGAGTTTCAGAAAGATTATGGCAGTCTCAAAGGTGGATTGAAGTGAGGCCAATGGAAGGCTGGAAGACCAATGACGAGGCAGATGCTCAGTTGAAAAAGCAACCACTTTGAGCTGCAAGGCTGGCCTATTGCACTGTGGGAAGGCACTGTGTCTTCCGAGTTTTGGAGCTCACACTAGGTCCTAGTGTTGCCTCAGGGATCAATCTAATTATTTAACTTTGGCATTACCTTTGGTCATTTAGCGATTCTGAGGAGTTCTGTCTTCTTTTTTACTCCTACTGTTGATGACAGCATGCATTGGCGATAAGGACTGGACATTGACCTTGCGATGAGAAGACAGAATGGGAAATGAGGGTAAGGGAAGGGTAAAAGACAAGACCTAGAGAGTGCTGTTACCATAGGAGTGAGATCTGGGTGCCTGCTGGTCAGGGAAATTTGCATGAGGATCCCAAGTGCTTGAATAGTAGGAGAATGCCATTAAAGGAGGCAGGACGGCCTTGAATAGTAAGAGGAGAGGAATATCCCTACATTTTGCCATAGTCCAATCCTTGGTGGTTCTTCAGGTAAGATTTTATATTATGGCTATAGCAACCAAAATAATAATAAATTGGGTGCAGTGGCTCACACCTGCAATCCCAGCACTTTGAGAGGCTGAGGTGAGCAGATCACTTGTGGTCAGGGGTTTGAGATTGTCCTGGCCAACATGGCGAAACCCTGTCACTACTCCAAATACAAAAATTGGCTGAGTGTGGTGGCACACACCTGTAATGCCAGCTACTCGGGAGGCTGAGGCAAGAAAATTACTTGAACTTGGAAGGCGGAGGTTGCAGTGAGCTGGGATCATGCCACTGCACTCCAGCTCTTGAAAATAAAATGAAATTAAAATCCCAAAATAACAATAAATTACACAGTTCTAAGGATTTTATGTATATTATCTCATTTAATCATCATAGAAACTCTATGAGGAAACTGAAGCTCAGAGAGGTTAATAGCATGCTGAAGGTAGAGCTAGAAGTGACTGAGCTGGACTTTCAGCCCAGGTAGCCTAGCTCCTGGTACACGTGCTGAATCACTGAGCTGTCTGTCTCCCAGACTCTCTTGGCAAGGGAAGACATGAGCCCATAAATCCCTGGATGATGTCTGTTTCTTAGCCATTCTAAAGTAAGTCACTCTAATGCTATGTTTGGTTTAAAACAGAGAAGGAGAAGAAAGGATATTGCTTTGTGTCTGTAGATTCCAGGTGACAGTAAATGGACAAGGAGGAAATCAACAAGAACTGAATAAATCCAGGATGCCTAGGATGCTGGCTGGACCTCTGGGGATGAACTGATTGCATTTGAGGGAATACTGTCTTACTAGATCTAAAGGTGATGTTATTGAACCTGTGTCTTTCCTCATTAGCCTGCCCCTGGAAATGCTGGACAGCTGAAGCCACAAAGACAAAGGAGAAGATTAGAGGCAACTGAGACCTAACCAAGTCACGGACCTGGAAGATGAAAAGGTGAGTCTTGTTTGAAATTGCATCTCCTGGGCCCACTTCAATGCCAGAGCTTTCAGGCAGAATTGTGGTGCACACACTTTTCTTTATTTTTAAAGGTAAAACATTGATTGTTCTGGAGACAAGAAACTCACCTTAGCTGTGAACTAATGCCTCAGTCGAATGTAGGGATCAGTGTCTCCATGGCTTTCTAACCCCTGGGCAATGTTTTATAGCAATTACCTGTACAACCAGTTGCTATAGTTACCTATTGTCTATGCTTCAAGAAGAGAAATATCTAGCTAAGCTAGTTAGCAGAAGAAATAGGTGCTGAGATCTGACAAGAATGGGACATGCAGAAAAAAATATTTTTATCCACATAGTGACAAGTTTTAGAGCGTTTAGCTTACTTACAGGTCAGTGATCATGGATATCTATCTTTTCCATATGAATCATCCCAATTCACAAAGATTAGCCCAAAACAGCCAGGTTTAAAATAGCCAATATTGCCATGGTTGTAACTGATTTAATCAGGGTGAACACTTAACCCAGGCTGGGACAATCTGATTCTGTCCCCTGGAAATCAGGACTGAAGTCTTTCCAGTCTGTCTGGATAAATGGCAGGACCTGTTCTATGTAAGCTTGAAAGAGTGGGGACCATCTTCTATCTTATGGAATAAGGAAAAGGGAAAGCATACTTGTAGAGGGAGAGTAAGCCTATTTGCAGAGGAAGCAGTGGGGAGAGGAAATGTAGCTTAAGAGTTTTTTTAGTTCCTGTCCCTTTCTGAAGCAGGATCATTTTCTGCCTTAGAGCATTTTCCTTCTTTCTTGTATTCATGACTATTATTACTCATTTTTTGTTCTTACTGGCATGAATTAGTTTCTGTTACTTCTCACTAAAACTCACACTCCAACATAAGTTATGCTCAAGGCCCCTGTGATGGGTCGAATTGTCTCCTCCTAAAATTATATGTTGAAGTCCTAACTCCCAGCGCCGCTAAATGTTACTGTATCTAAGGACAGGATCTATAAAGAGGTAACTAAATTAAGTGAGGTCATTAGGGTGGGCCTTAATCTATGATGACTGTTGACTTTATAAGAACAGGTTAGGACACAGGTGTGCATAGAGAAAGACCTTGTGAAGATGCTCATCTACAAGGCAAGGACAGAGGCCTAAGAAGAAATTGACCCAGACCACACCTTAATCTCAGACTTCTAGCCTCCAGCATTGTGAGCAAATGAGCTTCTGTTATTTAAGCCATCCAGTCTGTGGGACTTTGTTAGGTCAGCCCAAGCAAATGAATGCACCTGCTATGCACGGCATGAGACTGAAATTCTTCCTCCCTCTGCCCCCACCAAAGAAAACTTGATAATCGACTAACTGCTGGTTTTTTTTTTTAAATAGTGATCCATAAAGACAATAGCAAAAAGATCTTTTACTTTGGCTAAAAAGCCAATAACTGTCATTCAAGGCCCCTGACGGAGTAGTGCTCTAAAGGAATACATCTTCTTAATGCTCTTGTTTGGCTTAAAATAAGTGTTCAGCTTCATGCCTTCTCAAGGAAAGGTGCCTGCTAAAGCTTTAATTTTACACGGGAAAATGATTGCTTTTTCACTAATTGGAATGAATGGGAACTCTTTCTTCAATTCATTTAAACTCAGGTGAATACAAAGCAAGTCACTTTGCAGAGAGAAGTCCAGGAACTTGCAGATTCCTCCCTACTGCCCTTGAGTTCTGAGGTCAGTGTATGAAAAGTCATTTTCATCAGTTATCGTCACATTAGAGAATCAGGCAAAGAAAAACATCTAGGTTTTTCTTACTTTTAATCAGGACAAGGTATAGGAAAATGGTGTTGACATTTCAAAAAAAAAAAAGTGGAGAAGTGAAGGCCAAGAGTGAACAGAAAAAGATGTTGATTTAACTGAACTACAGTGGCATTTAAGAGGTCGCTGAGCAGAGACAAGGTGCAAAGGAAATAGGAATAGCTTATAGACTCATAACGAAATATGTGCCAATAGAAGCAGACACCAAAAGGATTCTGTCATTTGTGTGTGTGTTTCAAGGCAGTTTTTTTTTTTTTTAAAGAAAGAAAGGAGGATTGTATTTGGAAAACTTTGTGGTGTTCACATGTTCCTGCAAAGGAGAATAGACATGGCAAATAAGTTTCAACTCATATGTAGCTCTGAATATTTGGATTATTATCTCCCTGGAGGATTGTGTTGAGACGGATTCTGAGGATGCATTTGGATTTGGTAGGAAGGAGGGTCAATTAAGGAGAATGAATGAATGAATGTAAATATGAATGTTGTGCATGTGCGCTGGTGAGACCAAAAGTCGAACACTGACGGCCCTGGGTCCAAGTGGAGTCTGCGAGAGTGTTTTTAAAACATTTTATTTCATTAGTTTTTGGGCAACAGGTAGTTTTTGGTTACATGACTCAGTTATTTAGTGGTGGTTTGACATTTTCGTGCATCTGTCACCTGAGCAGTGTACCTTGTACCCAATATATAGTTTTGTTTGTCCCAGGTGGTTTTAAAAAATGATTTGAACTAAAAATAATAATAATAATAATAATAAAAAACAAACAGACAAACAAACAAAAAGATTTGAACTAAACATTTAAGAGTAGAGAGGTTTTATATTTTTTTGGCCCCCATCCTACCCTTCTACGTTTTCAGTTTCTTTTATAAACTCCAGGAATACTGGGTATTTCTGCATGACAACAGCAGGATGGAGCTGGGCAGTGGCTCAGTTTAAGTGTGGCCCCTGTGGACATTGGGCTGTGTGATCCCAGGCCTCAGGCTAATTGTACCTTCTGGGCTCAGGGATCATGTGGCTGTGGATTGAGGATGTGGCGATAGTGGAGGGCCTCAAAAGTCAGGAAGTGCTGAAATTTTAAGACCATCACAGCCTAAAAAGCAGAAAAAAGGCTTGGCAAGTATGGCCAAAGTAGATGTCTTTTAGTAGTGAGAACAAGACCACAGACCATAGTGTTCCCAAAATATGTGGTGACTGCAGTTTTTTCTGGAGGGGATGGGCAGCCTCAAGTTTTGTGAGGAGAAAGCTGAGACCTATACAAATATGGAGAAGTCCTCTTTGCTCTACTTATGCTACTTCTGGGCATCACCTTTAATGGGTGGAAAAGTGACACATTCCATCTACCATTAAAAGTGACACAATCTACCACTCTACCATTAAAAAAAATGGAATCAGTAGTATAGACGAAACCACTTCTTTGAACTCTAGACTCACATGTCCAATTGTTTACTTCTTATCCTTGCTGTTTTTGTCATAGATTTCAAACATAAGTGTCCATAGTGAAACTCATTCTTTCCTCCTTTCTGCGTGAGATTGGTTCTTTCTGGTGTGTTTTTCTCAAGGATTAGAACTTGCTCCATTCAGCTATAAAAACTAGGAAGCTCTTGCTCTTTATCTGCCATTCCCTCACCCTTTATCCAATCATGAATCCCAGTCAATTTTGCCCTAAGTATCTCTTGAATCTTCCCACTCCTCTCTGGCCTTCCTGCTATCAGTCCTCTGGCCTCACTCCAAAAGTTTTTTCACATGGCAGTCACAGGCATCTTTGTGAAATCCCAAACTGGTCATGTCTTCTCCCTGCCTCAAAATATTTCAATAGCTTTCTATTGCTCTCAAGATCCAAGCCCCACATTCTTTGCCCACACTTGCATCCTCACAAAGGCTTGGCATTTGCCCCTTACAGGCCTTGCAAAGCTTGCCACTTTCCCTTGTACCTTAACAAATCCATTTTTATAGAAAAGCAAATCTCTCCAGTTCCCAGCCTAAATGAGATGTTTCTGTAAGAGAAAAATAGAGATAAATTATTCTGCTTTTATTTGGGTGATACTTGATTTTTAATTTATTCTTTCAGTACTTGCTGTGATTATAGCAGTCAATTCTAATTTTTTTCCCTGCTGCTTAAATGTCAGCAGCCCATCTTTACTTAGAACTCATAGAAGTAATTGTTTCATGTACTTCAACTGAATAGTGATTAAGTGGCCTATGACCAATTTGAAGGTTAGCCTTCCAGTCCTTCCAGAAGCAGATTTCAGAGACATCTGGTTAGGGAGTGTAGTTCTGTAGGTTATCTTACCGTCAGAGGACCAGCATCCTTTGAGTTTGCTTTCTTGGTTGTCTTGGGAGGTCAAGTCTCAAACACTGAGTAACCATTTTGCACTAATTATTAATAAAAGAAGTAGATGATGGTCTATAGAGATGTGCTGTCCAATAAGGTAGTCAATAGCTATCTGTGGCTAAAGTTAAATAAAATTAAAAATGTATTTTCTCAGTTTGAGTAAGTATATTTCAAAAGCTTAATATGCACATGGCTAGTGGCTACCATATTAGACAGTGAAGATGTAGAACACCATCACAGAAAGTTCTATTGGATGGCTTCCCTCAGCAGAGATCTTTGCTTGACATATAAGGTACCTATCGTAACACATATCTATTCAATTAGTAGTCAATCTCCTATTTTCAGTGACAGTTGCTGTTATTTGTTTTAGCAAAATGATAAATCCATGTGGTCTGGAGGGAAGAAAATAGGTCAGATGATAAAACATGGAAGGCAGTGTAATTTGAAGAGGGAGTCTCCTCTATGGGTCCTTGGGGTACAGAGTGGAGGGGGCAGGGTTTGGACGGTTTTGTTTTGAACCATGCTGGCTCCCATGTGGACACAGACAGGATTACCATGTGATTTATGTCCACAGTAAAACCAAATCTAAGGCGCTTTTTGCTTTTCCATAGAGTTGGGTCAATTATTAAGGTGAAAAATGAGCCATCCTCATAGTGGGAGTAGGACAACTACATGCAAGTGATGTGTACCTTCCAAAAAATGTCTGCCTTCTGCCACAACACTGCTGCCCATTATCTGAAGCATCTGCTACTCATAAAATGCCTTCATAACTATACTCAGTTTGCTGCCACTTGATTTTCTCTTTGTTTGCTTTCTGAGGCTGTAGAAAAGTGGACAATTCTATTTAGGTATCTGGTGTAGGTAGGTAAT